AGCACCAAGATGTGTGCATCTCAGTGGCCTGGCCAGGATCACTCGTGCAAGAGAGATGGTGCAGGGACTTACTGGATTTCAGTAAGAAAGGCCTGACATCAAATGGCTAAATAAAACAGCTGCCTTAATAAGACAGAATAAGAAGAGGAACATAGACAGTGAGTAAATCTAACATCCTTTCAGATGCTGGGCACCCCGCGTTTGCGCAGCATTGGACAGACCCCGAATGGATTTCCCCACAGCGCACTGCACAGCTCCTGTCCATGAAAGGAAGCTCCCCTTTTTTGGTCATCTGAACTATTACATACTTTCTTAAAGGAGCACAACTCTGTTCCTAAAGGATGTTCGAACTTCCTGCTGCTCGTGTAGATAACGGCAGGGCCAGGCCGGGGGGGGAGTCGCCGGTACCAAGTGGGAGCTGCCGGCAGCAATCCACCCGCTAAGTTTATCCTGCGGCCAAGGGCTTTGTGCAGCATGGCACGTCCTGAAGGCCATGCCGCACGTGCAGCACGGCGCAGCGCAGACCTGTGTATATAAATTACCGATTATCTTAGTAACATACAGGCTTCTCAGTCCCTAAGGCTGAGGCCCAAGAGAGCAGACATGGCCTGTTTGAGATGACCCGCTCCTCGAATGCCACGTCTTCTGCAAGGCTCCCAATACCCAGTCTGCTCTCTTCCTTCATAGGGGGGACTCTCGACCTTCTGGGTTTGGCAGGGAAGGTGAGTAAGCTTCACTGATACCTTGTGAATGAAGACCCTCATCAGAGGTATTTGTGAGCACTTTGTCCTTCGACAAAGCTCTGACAGCATGGAAAGATCTCGCGATGCGTGAGGCTGAACCGTTGTGCTTTCCACAGAGCCCAGCTTCCTGTGCTTCGGAGGAAAGGCCTGGGTGCCACACAGAACAGCTACACCACTGGGAGGAGTTTCCTGCACAGAAGAATAAATCTCATTTTTCTGCCTATGAAGCGTTATCATCCCTTTCAAACGTACAAGCAGGCTTCAAAGAGATTGCCCAATTATTACGTTTTTAACCGGAAACATGTATCAGCCCTCACTCCCCAGCAAAGGGGTGAGGAAAGAGCGCTGCTAAGGGCAGGCTTGTAAAGACATGTCATTATGTGGTAACAACCACAGTCAAACTATTTTTTTCCCTTTCCTCTTACATCACCCGGAGCCAGCGGAGCCTGGGGGTGTGTGCCTTCATCGGCCACGCGCGGAGCCTCCATCTGCAGGAACAGAAGCAGAAAGGAGGACAGCACCAAAGGAAAAGAGCGGTGCCGGAGGCTTCACGGGGAGAGGAGAAGCCATGTACAACAAAAAGCTGAGAGGGTAAAAAAAAAAATTGCTGACCCAAAAAAGCTCACCCAGCTTCAGCTCTGTGTTGTTGTTGCTCCAACCCAAGGGGACCCCTGACTTTGTCGCCTCGGGGTGTGCTTTCTGTCTGTGCAAAGTCTCTGCCTTGCTTGGGGAAGGGCGAGGGCGATACAGGTGCCGGTGTACCCGAGTCGGAGCCCTGGTCCTCGGTCTAACTAAGAGGGGCTGCACCGAAGTCTGAGCCTGTTGGGGAAGTTCCCGCCAGCATAAAACTGTCATGGGAGCCATAAAACGGTGGGGAACAAAAGGCGCTGATAAAAAAGAGTGAAAGATGGGGGTGGGTTGGGGAAGGGCTAAGGCAGGAGCTGGCTCACCCCGACACTGGGCAGCAAGAAAATCCAAAAGCGCCTCTTCCCTGCTTGACTGTTTTGAGGTCTTGAAGCGGCTGTTGTGCTACAAAATAAACAGGAAGTGTCGGACCAGACATTTTCTGTCCAATAGAGGGGAAAAAAAAGTTCTAATGCGAAGTTTAGTAAAGAAGTGCATTGGCTGTGTAAAGTGTTACCAATGGAGGAAAAACGCGGATTAAAGAAGTTTTTGACACAGCTATGCTCATACATTTTTAGATGTTATTACTATTATTGTCTTGCAATGCGCAGAATTTTAAATAGTTTCTAATAAAAAGTGTTAGAGGAAGGAAGGAAAATTATTAAATATCTATAATGGTGCAGTTTATTACACAAAGTTTTAATAAGAAAGATATTAATTTTAGGTGCTGTTTTCATAAACTAAGTACACTTTAAAATAAACCCATTGCATTCCTGTTCAAGTTATGGATGACTGCACAATAGAAAAGGTATACATAACACCTTTTAAAAGATATCTGTAACCAATCAATACGTTTTCCAGGTTTAACGCACATTTACGTAGCAGCTGCACATTAATGGAAAAGAAGATAAAACCTAGGAGACAGTTACGTTGGCTGTCATCCCTCTGCCATTTTCTCTCCTAACTCCTCTAAACATTTTTGGGTGCAATTCTTCTTTCAAATACTTTATGGTTGGTGTATTTCTCTCCAGCTCGTAAGTTCTGAAAGAGTTACAAGTTTACCTTCATGAGACTGATGAACCAAATTTAGGAAGAAAACTAAAAAAGTTTTAGGACTTTTTTTTTATTTGATAACTCTTAATTTTGCCTCATAGCAAGGAATAAGCTATTAAGTGCTTGATTTTTTTGAGTTAGGGTCCATGTGTATGTGTGTACCATACATAACAATGCTGAACAGCAAGGACTGTTTGTGATAGCTATAAAATAAAAAAAATAAACTGACTGCATGGCTTTGGGCAATTTGTCTGTAAACTCACATCTTATTTTAAATATTTTCTTATCTGGTTTGAGGAGAAAGGGGAATAGGTGCTGGGATTTTTTTATAGATTTTGTAGCGTGGAAATGTTGTATGATGTTTTTAAAATTTCTTGTCTGTCCTTCTGTTAGAGCTGTTTAACTTTACATTAATCCATTATTTAAAAAATAGCAAGTTATAGCTGTAGCAGATATTTATAAGAATACAGACTTTTGTTTATATTGCATTGAGTTGATGACACAATAAATTTCACTTGGCTTAATACATCTTTAAGGTGGCTATATCTTGAAGATTAGTGTATTGCAAGATTGTTCTAAAGAAATGGCTTTATGTCCCTGGAAATGTGCACACCCACTGCAATAGCTTATCCAAAGTGCAATATTTTATGGTCAAGACACAGGCAAGAGGGGGCTTAAGACCAGTTTAAGTAGGACCTGGAAATTTTAACTTGTCTGTGTGTTATAATCGGATGGCAACAACTATAGATACCTTTGAACAAATCAGGTCTCTGTAATCTTTCGTAATACTGCTTTCGAAAACCTTAAAGATACCTTCTGTAAGAATTAGATGAACTAATTGGGCTTGAGTATTGGGAGTTCAATGTATTTTCTTTGGTGAACGTCAACCACTGTCACTATATAGATATACCCGCGTGCACACACACATATATTATGTATATTATGTACATATTATATATTTTATATATACATGTTCCCTAATCATCAAGTTTTAAAGAATTTTAAGCTAATAGGCACTAACTTCCAAATAGCATAATAGAAAAAATACATCTCTTTTAGCACCTCAAATGAGAAAAAGAAATTAAGCCTATGCTTCACTTTTGTCTCTCTCTGTTGTTTTTTTCTTAACGACATACTAAAGGAATTAAGTATCATAAAAAATAGTTGTTCCTGTACCAGAAATAAACATTTGGTGACATGTACATTTGCTACGTTTACATAAATTCAATAGAAAGTCTTACAAAGAAATCTGCATGCCTAGTTTCTGTGGTTTATATACACATCGTTTACATGGAGAAAATAGCGATACACTCTGTGGTTTATAAAGTGGTTTATGTGCATATGTATTTTAATGTGTAGGAGACTGGGATGAGGAAGGAGGCAGGGTAAGAAGAGAAAACCTCCTCACTGACTCAGATAAATGAGATGCCTTTTTACATAGGTGATGAGTCCTGCAGCTAGAGAATGTCTGACAGTTGCTTGATCTGCAAGATTTCATTAGTCCTTAGTTCAGATAGTGGGTTTTTTTGTTATTGGTGGGTGCTAATCTATAAAACAATCTACAGGCTTATTGCTTCTCTGTTAAGAGTCTGTCTAGTTGTCTAATAGATTTGTTCTCAATTACTCTAATGTGGAAAAATACGTATCTGACGTGCATTCTCGTATAAATCTCTATATAAAGCAATAATACAAAGGCTACAAAGTACTAATGGTGACTTCATAGACTATTTATGTATCATGGATAATTACTGATACAAAGGATACATTCATGACCAACACTGGCAGTCTTTGTATAGTTATTTAATTGACGATATTTAGAGATCTGTTCTGAACTGAATAGATCTGGATCTAAGAGATGGACTGTCTGTCAGAAAATGTCATTCTTGTGAGCTGCATCTTTTTGTATAGAGCTCTTTTTCGTCCTCTCATGTAGGATTGTGCTGACTGTGCTAATCCTTACGAAAATACAAACAGCAAGAGAATCCAATAAGGAGAAATACTCAGCTTCATAATTTATCAGTGGTTTTACCTTCTTTCTTTTATTTTTTTAGCTTTTACAAAATTCGCAACAGCTCCCTACATCGAAAAGGGCTACATAGGAGCCCTGGAAAAATGTCTGACACATAAAAAGATATAGAAAGCTTTTAGAAATGCTGATGCTGATGAGGAAGCGGACAGCCATAGGGAGGGGTGAGGCGGTGGAAAGTTCTGCATGCAGTTGCAGACAAAGGGAGGATTAAGTGGTTCAGGGTTTGGTGCCTTTACCCTGCTGTGGTGCCTACCTCTCCATTTTCCTTGCATTGCTCTCTCATGTTTTGCCCTTCTCAGTTCTCTCATTTCCTCTACCCTCCCCCTTTTTTGTGTACTGGAGAACTACTGAAAATGAAGTTGTAACCAGTGATATCTTGAAGTTTCTTTTCTGTTTCAGCATGTATATATCTAGGAAGGCATTAAAGGATCATTTTGACCCCTGTAAGGCTCCATGGAACACATATCTACTATGCAAACTGCAGTGGGGAAAGAACAGCACACCTTGGATACACTGGGTCAAAAATGACCCTAACCGTTACCATGCTGAAGTCTACTTCCTGCAGAAGATCTTTAAAATGAGAAGACCCAATAATTATGTCAACTGTTCCATCACCTGGTACTTGTCCCGGAGCCCTTGTGCAAAATGCTGCTATGAAATACTGGATTTCTTAAATAAGCACTCAAATGTGAACATAGATATATATATAGCACAGCTTTATAAGATAAAAAATGAAGAAAACTGCCAAGGTCTGAGGAACCTTGTGAGCCTGGCGAAAGTAACCATTGCTGTCATGGAAATTGAAGGCAAGGTTTCCTGTGCTTTGTGGGCCTGGGAAGGGGTGAACTGGTGAACTTTGTGCATGGGTGAATCTGGCATGGGCTTGCTTCTGTGCCCAGTGTCCTGTCCAGCTTCTTTGGGGGCACATCCATTACTTTTCAGTGACTGAGTGTTGCATCCAAAAAAAGATGTTCAAATATTGCAGGAGAAGGAGGACAGGACTCTAAGCAACCAGACCTATATGAAAATTCTCCCTTGTTTAGAGACACCATCTTTCTGTCACTCCTGAGAGAGCAGGAGATAGGGCGCTTCTCTCTTGTCTTAGGGGACTAAATGCAGCTGCTGGGATAAGGCTGGCTGAAGGGGCCCTGTGTCATGGGCACAAGGAAGAGGTTAAAAAGTCTTGTTCCCTGAGCTTGTCTGGTATCTGAATAAACTCAGGTTAGTCATCTTGCTTCCATTTCTCCAGACTATATTTACTGTTGGCAAACATTTATCCAAGGAGATGCTGATGCTGATTCCTGGACTGAGGGCTTTCAGTCAGAGATAACTAAGAATCGTTTGAAGCTCAAGGAAGTCTTAGAGGTTAGTAGACTCTGAGGGGTAGGGGGAACCATATGAAATAATTTGCAGTCTGGGGTCACTGAGCTGTAAAGAACAGGAAAGAAGCTGTTCATATCTACTTGGAGTTTAGAGAGTGCTGCAGCATGCTTTTGGAAAAAGTAATATAGTAAAATCATAGGAACTATCCTGTCCCATGGGAGAGAAGCAGTGTGGATTTTCTTCCAACATATTACAAAGCAAAGGCTAAGAGTGCAGCTTTTCTCCTTCAGGCTCCAGAGTGGGAAATCTCTTGATTATCAGCTGAAACTCCAGTCTCGTCCCAGAAATCCTCCACCAGATTCTTTTCTAATCTGGGTCTGAGCATGGGTTTGTGTTCACCAGATGATGCTACTCAGCCACTTTCTGTCAATATCTGCAGTGGTCTGACTCCCTCCTCCCAGTCACTGGGTCCCTATACTTCATTAAAGTCCCTTCCAGATTTGATTCAGGAGCTTCCCTGACTGGTCCAAAGGGTACAGTTTCTGTGAGATGAGAAAAGCTGTTCAAAAGAGAATGTCTGTCTGCTGGGAAAATCCAACCTTTGTTTTTGTTTTGTTCCAGACTTTCTGAAAGGCAGGAGAGAGAAGAGAGAGTGTGTTCATCAACAGTGCTGAAAGTTTGTGCCCCTGGAGACAAGAGACCCTGCTTGAATGAAGAGGTCCACATCCATGGCCTGGAGGGACTGTGTACAAAAAAAAAAATCAGCAAAACTAATATAAGTTCTGCAGCATTTTGATTTGCATGTATTAGAGTTTTCTGACAAATGCTATTTTTAGTGAAACAGAGTGAAAGAAATCTATGGTTAAGTAGGTCATTGAACATCTGGGAAATCCATTTTACATGGCATCTGTGGAAAATAAATAGTCTGGGCTGTTACAAGTAATAGACTTCTCCTGCTATGTCCGTTTCAAATCACAGCACGTCCAAAGTGCAATTGTTAAAGGATCTAAATGTCATATTTTTATTTTCGTTTCAGGATCTTCCATTCATAGAATCATAGAATCATAGAATATCTCAAGTTGGAAGGGACCTATAAGGATCATTGAATCCAACTCCCTGCTCCTCACAGGGCTACCTAAAACTAAACCACATGACTAAAAGCATCGTCCAGATGCTCCTTGAACTCTGACAGGTTTGGTGCCATGAGCACTTCTCTGGGGAGTCTGCTCCAGTGACAGACCTTCCTCTCAGTCAAGAACGTTTTCCTAATGTCCAAGCTGAACTTCCCCTGACGCAGCTTCATTCCTTTTCCCCCGTCCTATCACTGGTCACCAGAGAGAGGAGATCAGCACCAGGATTACCCTGTCTCAGGTGGAGAATCTGGCACTTGCTCTTGTTAAATTTCATATGGTTGGTGATTGCCCAGCTCTCAAGTTTATCCAGATCTTTCTGTAAGGCCTCTCAACCATCGAGGGAGTCCACAGATCCTCCTAGTTTAGTATCATTGGCAAACTTACTTAATGTACATTCGATTCCTGTGTCCAGATCATTTACAAGAACATTAAAGAGCACTGGCCCTAGAATTGAGCCCTGGGGAACCCCACTGGTGACTGGCCGCCAGCCTGATGTAACCCCATTTACTGTAACCCTTTGAGCCCGACCCATCGGCCAATTGCTCACCCAACGTGTTATGGACTTGTCTAGCTGTGTGCTGGACATTTTATCCAGAAGGATACTGTGAGAGACAGTATCAAAAGCTTTGCTAAAATCCAAACCCACCACATCTACTGGCTTCCCTTGGTCAACTAGATGGGTGACCTTGTCATAAAAGGAAATTATGTTGGTTAACCAGGACGTTCCCCTCGTGAACCCATGCTGGCTATGACCAGTGACTGCATTGTCTCTCAAGTGTTTTTCAGTAACACTCAGAATAACCTTGTCCATAATTTTATCAGTCACTGAAGTGAGACTGACAGGCCTGTAATTACCAGGGTCTTCCTTCTTGCCCTTCTTGAAAATTGGAGCAACATTTGCCCAGTTCCAGTTGACTGGGACCTCTCCAGACTCCCAAGACCATTGACAGATAATGGAGAGAGGTCCTGCAATAACATCAGCCAGCTCTTTCAGTACCCTAGGACAAATCCTACCAGGCCTCATAGATTTATGTGCATCCAGCTGGAGCAGCAAGTCTCGAACAGGTTCAGGGTAAGCTGGGAGTTTATCATCCCCCAGTCATGGTCTTTCAACCATGGTCCCAGGGCCCATCATTGGTGTTAAAGACAGAGGCGAAGAAGGTATTAAATGTCTCTGCTTTACCTACATCCCTATTTGTGAGGTGACCGCCCTCATCAAGTAACAGACCAATGTTATCTCTGATCCTCTACTAAGAGATTTCACCCACAGAAGATGGCCAGCTGCCTTACTGCTTGTATGGGAAAGTTAACAATCATAAAATGTTGCTAGTGTTCCCTAGTTTCTAAAAGCCACCAGTGTCCTGGACAGACAGCTTGTCACTGGGAGTCTTGAGTATACTGGACAGTGCTAAATATCCCCAATGAGAAACTTCTGGATGTGGAAATGGAGGCAGGTAGCAGCCAGGATGGGGAACGGTGTCCCAGGCCCAATACTCTGCTAACATTCTTCTTCCTCTGAGGTAGCCCAGTGGTGCACAGGCTGATGGGAAAAGGGTACTTAAAGAGGACTGCTAAATTAGCACGTGAACAGTTGATTAATTCACTGTAACTTACTTCAGCTGAGGCATTTTGATGAAAACAGGCTATTTCCTTGACTCTTGAAAAATGAATCTCTGGCAAGAGAAGGTCAGGGTGCCAAAAGGAACATCTTGGGAGACTTGCTGTCCTCTTGGCTAGCCTTGTCTCCTACCTCATGCTACAAGAGGAACAAAAGTGAACCTAAAAGCACAGAAAATGCCCCATCAGGGCAGAAAGCATAGTCCAGACACTGTATCTAGTAGTGGCAGTAGGAGATGCTTTTTAGGGAGAGCAGAGAAGCCTGGCCACTATCTGTTGTTCATTATGACCCAGTCACACTACCTCAATACCCACAATGACTGTGGTTGGGAACCCTGCATTGTCCCTTTAATGTCTGTTTATGGACTTGTTACCATGAATTTCTCAGATCTCTTTTGACCTTGTCCTGCCATCTGTGTCCAGTTTACTTGGGCAGCAGATTCCAGAAGTTCACAGTTTGCCATGTAAATAAGTACTCGTCTCCGTTTTAAACTATCAACTAATCACAATAAGTGCCAGTTCTTGCTATACTAATGTCTCATCATTAATGACTTGTCTGCATTTGAGAGACTGTGCTAGCCTAGAGAATTTTCCACTGGTTCAGTGGGAGCTGTAACATGTAACTGACAGCAGCACTTGATCTTGAAAGAGCAACTTAAAAAAATCCACAGATGCTCCATTCAAGAGAAGCAAATCCTCCATCCACGAAGTGGTGTGACTGTGGAATGATAATTACAGTATCCATGGTCATTGCATTTCAGTAACTCCACTCAGCTGGCTAAAGGAGTAAGAAAGTATTTTTATCCACAAGCCCATCCTGGAACTGGCCCACTAGATGTATTGAGTGGAAACTCCTTGAAAATCAAGGCACATTAGGCTGCACAAAGAACTGTAGGAATGCAGCTGTATGCCTTGCATTATCAAGCTGGGTTGTTTTTGCTCCTCTGTCCAGTTGTTTCCTGCTTTGTACTGTGCAGAGGTACAAGTCCTGATGTCAGTATTGAGTGCTTGGGATAGAACCTCTCTCCGTTGCCTATTACTGACAGTACGTTATTTTTGCAAGAATAGGATAAATATTCATTGATTTATACCCATTTTAGTCATTAAACTCTAAAGCTATGATTGGGCCTGATTCTTCTCTCATTTGTATTGCTAATCTTTTAACATAGTCAATAGAATTACTCAGAGTTTTGGACCAGTCTAGCCTAAAGAGAATCTGGCTTATGGAAACTAAGAGATGACAATCTGTAATTCACAAAATGGCAGCACTCCTCAATTAAGTAATGTCCACTTCGGTACATGTGTCCTCTTGTTTAGATATGGGTCTTTACATCTTACAAGTTCAGGAGCTGATGCTTTCAAGCTGGTCTTAAAGAGGCAAAGAAAATTGATCACACAAGTTGTTATGGGGGAAGAGAAGTACAGAAAACGTGCAACTGCTAAGCTCAGTTTATGAAGTGGACCAAGTGTTCTCCCCTCAATATCTACTGCTGAAGGTCTTTGTAGCTAGTTGTTGGCACAGGCTGCCAATCAAATGATATCACAGTATACCTTCCCAGCAGCTTTGGGGATGTTCTGTCGCTTGTTGATCCACCGTCCATGCCAAGGCTCATTATGCTTAGCTCTTGTTTATATTGTCCTGTTGGCCTTCGCTTACCACACTCAGCCCCTGTTTGCATTGTAACCAGCTCTTGGCCAAAGCAAGGCTGTGACATTCCTATGTCACAAGCAAGCAAGAACCCCAAATTGTTTTCACAATAAAAACTGAAGGCAATTATTA